ATGGCCCATCCAGGAGGGGTGGAATGCCGCCATAGCCCGGAAAATCTATAATCCGACAACTAATCACGTGCTCCAATTGGCTGACTCCATCGGATCCAATCCACGGCCCACCCAGGAATGGGTAGAATGCCGCCAGACCGCCCTGATCGGATCCAGTCTATGGATCACCTGTGGACGATGTTGGTCACGGTGTCCTGTGCCGTACGATATCGCCCATCGGATCCAATCCATGGACCATATGTAGACGATATTGATCTGTCAAACTTGAGGGGATGGAGGGCTCTATTCTCTATCTACTTGTCGAGGTACTGAGCCTGCAGTTCTGTGTAAGAAGCCGACGACTTCTCAGGCTTGGACACGTACTTGCCGATATAGGAGAGTACCGCGTGGAGACTCGTCGGGGTTGAATATCGGTGTTGGCCATCCATCCCATGGTGATGACGGGCGCACATTGATTGAGGGTCTCCCGGTTCCGAGCGGGCGAGAACAGCCAGGCCTTGTGATTGATCTCTTTCGTCACGACGGGGAGGTCGAGGGTTGATCTGAGCCCCTCGTCGTCGGTAAGCAGTAGGGCACTCGACAGGCCGAATGCAACTAGAGGCGATTGAGAAGGGCCGCAAATTGATTCGCGGTATTGGCGACATCGACGAGGGCCAGAGAAGCGGGATTCCGGGCATCCGGTAATCGTAGCGGGTCCGGATTCCACGCGGTAATCCTGGCACCCCAGTATTGGGCGAATGCCGCCCGCACGTCGTCTATCTCACAGTCGAGGGGAGGGGCGGTGGGGATCCAGAAGAGGCAATGGAGGTGGCCGGAACCGCGGGCCTGCCACTCGAACCGGTGCCAGGAGTCGGTAAAGCCGAGAAACGGACGGAGAACGTGGTTCGTCAACGCCTGGAATCTCAGAAGCAGGTAGTGGGCAACGATATGTGGGTTGTCTTGGACGCCATCCCAAATGAATGCGACATCCGCAAAGCCCGGGAGGTGTCGATGGAGGTCATGCCACTGCATATCAGCCGAGCTGAGAGTCACAAAAACAGGCGACGTGCCGGGCGAGAGAAAGCGAGCCTGGGCCTGTAAGTGGTTGCTCTTATTCCTCCAAAACGGGCACGTCCCCCGTCAGATCGGAACTTTGGCGTACAATCTGATGGAGGAGGGCGTCGATCGGTAGGGCGTCGATCCGGTCCAGAGAAATGGTGATAATCCGGGTGGTGCGCCTTGAGAAACCGCAGCCAGGTCATGGCATGTCCCTTCCGGACCCGAAAATCCGACCGGAAACCGGCGTCGATACCGGAGATCATTCTCGACGACGCGATCCGGGGGCCGTAACACCAGTACATCTAGTTCCGCAGGCAGATTAGGCAGCATCTCTACAGTCTCGATCGTATTTTGCGCATGTGACCGGGCGATGATGATCTCCTCGACTTGGGTCAGCGCGGGCGCAGCTCTCCCGGGTCGCGGGCCGGGGGGTTTGGAGTCTAGAAGAAGCTTCGCTAACGCTACGCTTTAATAAATTTTACCTTAATTTGATTTAGTTTGATTTGAATTTATCTGGATACGATTTATCTATTTGTAAGCCTCCATCAAAGGGCTCTTGGGAAATCCCGTTCACATCTCTCAATTATCCTTTTCCTTCCCAGAGAGCCGAATTTTCCTCGCAAAACCGTTTCATCACTGTCGACTGAAAGGTGACTTCGCCTTCCTGCCGTTCTGTGTTGGAGACGGGACATTTCTTTCCATGATAAGCTAAGGGGAATGCTCTCGATCATCCTGTCCGTTTAGATCTGCTTGGCGCCTGTACGAGACGAGGTTCTGCAGCCAAATTTCCCTCCTTATCCATATCCCACAACAAGATATGACGTGACCCGACAACAATAACAAAGTGTGCCTGCAGCTCCAGACTGTCTTTCTCCACCTTTTGCTGTATTTCAGTGCTCTTGATATAATCTCTTAGCTGCCGGGCCTCATTTGCCATAACCCATGATCCAATTGTTCCTTGATGGTGTATGTCCCAAGTGGCGAATTTAAGCCCAAGAATTTTAGAGAGGTCGTAGTTGCGCAGGATGTCTGCTTTAGCGAGAGTCGCATATCTGTCGACACCCTCTATATCTAGGAAGTTAATTCGATAGAACTTCCATTCGGTAACTATCAGTTGTCCGGGAACCTGGAGGATAAGGTCGATACGACCGTTTGTTTTATTTGGCTTTATCACCTTGAATTCTGCGCGTGGAGCAAGAAAATGGTTTTGCAGCAGGCTGAAATAGAAGCTATCCCGATGAGCTGCTTCATTCGTTTGGGGAAGATCTTGGGTGGTGACGTCTCGTTGCATCATCAATTCTCGATAACAACCCAACGTTTGTTCAAGCTCTCCGTAGTCCACGAGATGCCGAAGTGCTTCTCTGAGGGAGTTACGTAGATCATACTTTTGGAGAACCGCGAGAGCGATACGACCTGCCGCAACCTTGTTCGGTATCTTAAGGTGCGTTGTCGGCTTTTCCGGGTAAAACGTAAGGCCGCCAAAGTAGACAATTAGTGAACGCCACGAAGAACAATCTTCATCATCCTCATTCTAAAAGAGATATAAGTTAGCAGAAACGGGAATTGGGGCTAAGATATTTACATACCAAGTCTCGAAGCGTAAATTGGGGTCTGAATCGGCCGTATTCGAAAGGTATGTAGCTCCCTTTTTCGTCACATTCCAGTGCTTTTTCGAAGTCTCTTATCACTGGCGCCGAAGCAGCAAATCTATTAAGAAACTGTTCAGATACTTCAGAGTTTTCCGGGTCTCGAGTCTCTGGTGTGTCTCCGTCGATACGACACTGAAGATATGCTAAGCACGTCTCCGTGTTGTAAACAGTTTCGACCGTTTTATCTTTACAGAAATGATATCCGTTGAAAAATTTAGTCATTTCTGAAAGAAAACCGTTGTAGACTTCAGGATCTTCGTAGATTCCCTTTAGGGCGTCTTCCAAGTCCGAGTATGTCAAACCACAAAGCCCGGCCAGATTCTTATTGAATGACACATTTTTTGTCACATTGAACGCACTGCCCAGACTGGATAAGGAGAGCGGTGAGATCCCCGTGATGAAAATCCTTCGGATGTCCCCCTCTGCGCACAATGACTTCATCGTAGACCAGAAAGATTTGAAAGTACGTCCGACTTGTGTATCATCCCAATCGACCCCGGGTTCTCGGACGGTGTTGGGTGGTTTGATGTAGTTGTTGGGAAAAGCATCGTACTCATCAACGAGCACGTAGATCCTTTCAATACCGGCAAGTCGGTCGTCCTGCTCAATCGCATCTCCAACTACCTTGGCACATCTCACAAGACTGGTGTTAGGTGCTTCACTGTCAATATGTTGACACAGAGCAGTAAAGCTTCCGCCCAAGTATGCAGCATATCGTCTATAGAAGTTCTCGATAGCATCGTTCAAGAAGTTTACGAGTGCCTTATTCGCCTCCGTAAGGTCCGGGCTGGCGTTAATTCTGGAAAAGTCGAATGTCAAGACGAAGTACTTTCCGGGGCTCACTTTTCTTTCATCGATATCTTTTTGCACATCGAGACCCTAGAATGATTGAAAAAGATGTAAGTTCTCACATCAAGGTAATTAAGGGTACAGTTGCGTACCTTATACAGCCATCGATGTTCATCTGCATACTGAAGGCCGTGGAAATGTTCCAGCATCCTTATTGTTAGTGTTTTGCCGAACCGACGTGGGCGGCAGAAAAGTATGAACTCGTCGAGTTTGCCCAACTTGGAGATGTAGCCGGTACGATCGAAGTAAGCCTGGCCCTCTCTCTGTAGAAGATTGGGAAAATCCTTTGCTCCGGATCGGAAGTACTCTAGTTCGCCGTTGATTATTAGGCTACCATTGTCAACTCGGGTTCTCTTTGGCGAAGGAGCCAGCTCGGGCGTATGCTTTCTCTTCCTCGTCTCGGGGCCTGCAATGAGATGGGAGATGGATTAGTGTAAAGAGAACGGTAAAGAGGCGTGGTCAGTGGAGATACTAGTAGTCTCCCCTTTCGCGACCTCGCTCGCCAGCATCGCGAGACTCTTGCTAATCCCAACTGACAGCTCGCATTCATTTCTAAAGAACCCCATGTCGCCAGCAGAATTAACAAAGATATTCTTGTTGATATTTGCGGTTTTAAATCTCTCAAGACCTTCGCCTTTGAGCAGTCCCGGTCGCTCTTGGTCGATCCATTTGAGTAGGTCGTCTGCATCCCATTCGTTTATCTCGTCGATTGCGAGCTTGCTGTGGCTGGCTTGCTTGGGGTCGTCCATGGCGGTTGGTAGGACGGCGTATCAAGCGGAGTGAAACGAGCAGCCGCAGGCTTAGGAAGGAGGCGTAGGAGTAGAGGCAGAAAGACAAAATGTTCAACGGCCAACAAATGGACGATATTAGGGTCACGACTTCGAGGTAAGAAAAAGCCTTGTTAGGAATGGGGCTCCAGTTGAAGGGTGTGACCCGAGCCTCATCAACCCAGGCGAGTGATTGACGCGTTTGGTTGCCAAGTACACTTCAGAAAAAAAAGTGTCACAAACGGCCGATGCAGGTCGACCATGGAAACGCTTCGAGTCTCGGTATTCGAAGTCGATGGGGATTATAGACTGTGGAGTCTAGAGAAGAGATGAAGGAATACGTTGTTGTTCTATCTGACAAAAGGGCAAGACTGAATGAGATGGAAAAGGGCGCGCAAGTTGCGACATTGCCAAGCCAATTCCCTCACGTGATAATGCCAAGCAAATATCACGTGATAAAATATACCGTAGGGTGTAAAACTACTCTAAGTCTACCTAGCGGAGCGCTAAGTGCATTTCAGTGCCAAGCCACTGTATTTTGGGAGCTAGCCCCCCAAACCCAGGCCTCGCTGCGCTCGATAGATCACGTGATTGAGCCGGTCACACTGGTCTTGGCAATTCTTGGCGGCACACATGCGGCCCCACGACGGTTCACGATTGGCCAGCCGCTCGGGAACCGGGAAATCTATAATCCGGCAACTACCAAATCCTTTGCTCTGATTGGCCGACCCGTCGGATCCAATCCGTGGACCACTTCGAGCGGGGTGCGGAACACGTGATAATTTGCACGTGATCAGGTGCGATTAACTAGAGCACTTAACTAGGGGCCGCGGACAGGATATTCCGCAGGGGGTAAAAGCGTAGGTTTTTGTATTTTGGGGGGCCCCTCTGCGAGCACGCAGAGCGCAGGCTACGCGCCTGCGGGACGATGGATTCACACCTTCACGCGGTGTCCGGTGTTAAGCACTGAAAAGGTGTGAACTGAGTTGAGTCCGCAGCTACAGCTTCAACTTCAAGGGATCAACGCGTTGCAACGCGTATCGACAAAAAAGGGGGAGACATCATTTAAAAACCGCCCGACCCAACAGTATCCCCGGAACCGAAGCAAGTCCTGTCAAGCTTGCGGATGTGGTATCGTCTACTGAAGGGACAGGACACCCCTAGCTTACAAGCGCTTTGGGATACGTGTCACACGCGACACATACGAGGGTAGCCGGATCCCTGGAAGGTAGGTACTTGCGGCCCTGTTAATTCTGATGTATTCTATCTTAGGCGACCCTCTGTGACGCGTACAACCTTGTTATACTTCGAGAACAAGCCACCGGAGGTATCGAAGGGAGGAGGATAGTATACTGAAAGGAACAAGCCACCGCAAGGAAATACGAACGGAAAGGGGGACATAAGCTTGGTTAGTGAGGGATCGCAACGTGAGAACAGTTGCTGGCTAGAACTTTCTCACGGTCCCCTTGCAAGACATGGACGGCCTAGACGGGGGAGACCACGCTAGGTAATGCGAAACGAGTCGTATACGAGCAGTATACGACTCGCGGGGCGTAGTGTGCATTGGTAGCCATGGCTGGGGAAACCCTACAAGACTATCTGCATAGCTCGAGAGGACAGACGCGCATGTCGGTATACAAAGAGAACAGGCACTGTCTACCCTGCTCGTACCAGGGTCCAGAGTTACTACGATGGATAGTTCGAAGATCGCATGCGAGATGCTCTCGGCTCGAAATGGGATCGCCTAGTTGACCGCAACCCGATGCAAGATGGAGGGGACTGCAGACAGGCACTGATGCTACTACAAGAAAGAATTTACGAAGCATGGCGGGATCGAAAGGTACTTAGTCTGGTCAGCTTCGACGTTAAAGGAGCATACAACGGCGTAGACCGGACAGTCCTCCTGCAACGCCTACGACTTCCTCAGGTCCCGGAAAGAATAGTGCGGTGGGTGGAAGCGTTCTACTCATGTCGGCAGGCATGTGCCATGGTGAACGGCGAGTCCTCTGAGATGAACCTTCACAGGCGGGACTGCCCCAAGGGTCACCGCTATCGCCGGTTCTGTTTCTGTTCTTCAACGCAGACCTAGTGCAAATACCGATTACGAAAGCAAGAGGGGCGATTGCATTCGTGGACGACTTCAATGCATGGGTCACGGGCCGGAGTGCTCGTGCGAACACAAAGAGATTGCAGAGAGAGGTGATTCCGAGGATCGAAAAGTGGGAAACGTCTAGCGGAGCATCCTTCGCGCCAGAGAAGACTGCCCTTATCCACTTCTCTCGAGCCCCGAAGAGGTTGAGCGAGAAGGCGGACACCGATAGAAATAATGTAGTACAGTAGCTAGTCCCCTATGGGCTCAGCCCGCATAGGGTGTATGAATATCCTATCGTATCGTGAGATGCCAAGACCGTCATTTGACCAATAATGTTAGCCAATGACTTGGCATTGTCACGTGACAATGTTGGCTTGGCACTGAAGTGCTCTTAACACTCCGCTAGATGGACTTAGGGTGGTTTACACCCCACGGTATATTTCAATGATGCGTTCCACCTTCAAAGCCGATAGTGGATTGAACCATTTGCTTTGGTAAAGATTTGTTGCAGCGTTTAGACCTCGGGACATGTCCAATGTGAATAGTTTCAAAATGCAACTTGAGTCCTTCGGAAATGTGCTGGTACAGTGTCTTGCAATTTGTTTGGGGCGATGATCTACCACGGTCACGTGCACGGTCCATCTAAAAAACAAAAAAAAAGAAATTGTCCCCTCGGCCGGAATCGAGCCCTGCACCCAAGTCAGTGATCATACTCACGCTTGCAAATCCGATGAAAACGTGACTTACAGCGACCTTTCGGTTACATGATAATCCATTACAGCCTTTTGGTAACATAAAATCAGTGAATGTTCGTTTGATGAGAAGCATCATGCTCACCGAACGTGATAGCCAACTACACCACAAGGGGATGGAATCTGATACAAAGACGTATCAGACACTTCATTGTTGCCCTAATTTCCGGGTAAAAAATATGTATGCAAATTTTATTGGTATAGTAAACACTAGTCTACTTAGAGGTATTTGTGCCAAGCCTCTCATAGCTTCTCGATATACTCCGTAGTCCGTAGCTGAGTAAAGCTTGCTACTGCTATGATCGTACTGAGAAGTAGCTGTGGTGGTCTTCTAGACTATTTGCCTAGGGCACTCTAAGAGTCGCGGTCCTCTATGTCTGCTATACTCGGTAGAACCGTCCGTACTATCAACTCTTCCTTGCTAGGTAGCCCTTAAGCAGGACACACTTACAGCACTGAATGGGAGGGTATGCCAGCTGTCCCCAGTCGCGTTCAGCCACAGAGGGCCGGGCCCCGCCAGGACAATGGACATATCTCACTCTATCAACTGCATACCGCCGTCACACCGTACACCGATGGCACACCGAAAATCCAAAACTCGGTGTCTAATGACTCAAAGGTCGGAAGACGATGAGTCTGCAACTCTCAGCCAACCCCTTTCATGTGCTCTGGGACAATGTTTTCCGGCCTCACTTAGTTGAAAGGACGATCCTCTTTAGTTAAGCTATTTCTATACTACCCTATGGGGACTTCTTCGATGTAAAGAGTTCTATCATTTTGCACTACATGTCCGCTCTCGGTCAGCACTATAAGGAACAGATGCCTGTCCGGGAGGTAGGTATAGCCGATCGCAAGGGGCCAGATCAGGCCCCCGGTGTGTCTGCTTAGGGAGCGCTCAGTGATGCTCAGCTAAAGGCTCAGTTAAAGCTCTGGTTAAAGCGGCCCCCACCCCATAGAATTAAGTCGTAAATGGTAATTAGGTTTTTCGTTCTCGAGTCTCGAGTAATTGGGGTAATTTGTGCTTGGGGCTTCGGACACCCCGTTCTCTGTGAGGATCACGCAGTCTAGTGCTATATAGTGCATCACAACGATGGAACGCAGCTCTGGGGTTGATTCAAGACGGCCAGATATGTTATCCCGCCTCAACTGCATTCAATCTGTCCTCACATGGCGGGCTTGGGGGACCAGCGTTTTGGTAATAAAGTTTTGTGGCTACATGACCTGTCCGAGGATCTGGGAGCCTCTGGTTGCCGTTGCGATGTGCCATGGGATGCAGTGTGCATGGGGATCACTGCAGACTCGCGTCATGCCCAGAGTTGCAAGACCACGATATTGTTTAATCGCATCCTCAAGCAAGTCGTCTGCTGATGTCTCGCTTGAAGAGTCTGTTGCCTGTGTAAATGAGCTGATCAAACTGATCTCAATCGAAGTACATCCGTCCTCGCTCTTTGGCCCTTTGCGTTTCATCAGCAAGCCAGTTGCCAGCGCGGGGCGGAGGTCATTCATGTTAGCCGTCTGATTGACCCCATATGGTAAGACAATGACCCAGCTCTCTTCTGTCGGGTCAATCAATGTGAGATCACATTCGATATTCGGATCGAATCCGGGATCTGGAGGGGTCGGAGCGTTCATGATCGAGCTCCCACCAGGTGTTGGTGTCGCCGGCACGAGCTGATCAGGAGATGTGATGCTGGCTTGTGGAGTAGATCCAGGCGTCCCATACATGTTTTGCATGCCTGGATGTGGTGTCTTTCCGAGGTTCGATTGAGGTAGGACCCTTAAAAGAGGGTTAACTTGACAGGAAAGGAGCATTAGCAAGCAGTGTTTCTGAGACGGAGTAGAACTGTGATAAATCTGACGCCATTCAAGCAGCTCCGCTGGATCATAGTATCCCCTCTTTATCACGGCTAGACGCCATGGTCCACGATCTTTGCTCACCAGATCGTGCGACACCTCCCACATTTCCTCCAGGATCTCTTGCCTGGGTCTCTTCTTGCCTGGGTCACGGACAAGGGCGCAATATGACATGGTAAGCGCGACGCGCCCACACTCATCCGTCCATGCAGCCGTAATCCATCTGTCATCAGGGCTCACTGAATAAGCAAGGTGCAGGCACGGTCCATTGTTCGACAGTGGTGATCTGAACGTCGGGCTGAGTTGAAAATGAACTGAACTCTCTTCTTTAGCCAAGATAATGGCCGAACCGCAAGCAGCCGGAAGTCCGGCAGTGTCTGGAGGTGGGAGGCGATTATAGACCTCTATCGCCAATTTGAGGTAAGCGTATTGAGGTGGAATCACCAGCGTTTCCGCACTTGCCACGAAGCCTTGTGGGACGACTTGCAGCGCGATGTCGGAAATGTCCTGTCTGTCGGCCAATCCTTGTGTGAATGATTCGTAAAGGTCGTGGAAAGCACTGCACGCTTCCAAGTAGGAAGTCGAACTTTCATCTTGACTGATCATGTAGATGAGCACTGTGCCTTTCAGGTCGGAAGCCGAAGCGATTGTAGTTCCAATTCTCTGGCAGGTCTGGCGAAGATTGCTCTGGCTAGATGCAGCTGGGCCCCAGCTGATCAACCCATTCTCCGTCAACCCTGTAACCTGGCCCATCATATGTACTCCAAGGCCGCAAGTGTGGTAAGTATCTGTCATCCTCTTCAGAAGATTGGAACATCCATCTGCGACATTCTGGGCATGCGGGTGGACACAAAAGGCGGTGACATTTTTGGAGCCACTCTCGGGTTGCAAGTTCAACGTATCCCAGAATTCCAAAATAGATATTGAAGCAACCAGGGGCTGGTCCGACCGCCGTACGCGTATCTGGTTCGGAGGAAATTTCACTATCCTTCCCTGGGATTTGGCGTTATTGTGGTCGGCTTTGAAATTGACGAGTTGATATAATGATGATGGGTTCGCACACGTGTTAACACCGCTGAGATCAACAGAGACTTCCATGTGATCGGCGGAGAGGTCATGGGGCTCCTCCTGCTCTCCGGGGCGAGAAATCAATGACGTTTGAGTGATTTGGTCCACCAGAATGTGCGCAATTAGTAAGAATTTCTGTGCCGACATTGTTGGGGTCGGAGAAGACTTCTCCTGAAGATCAAAGTCCGACAATTCGGGGTACTCCAGCAGGCCGGGCTTGAAGAGAGTGAGCAGATACTGTATTTCTTGCCGGATGGACTTCCTTTCAACTTCTCCGTTGTGGCTGATCAACCCCGGAGAGTCCGGATGATATTCCGTCCACTGCCTTGACGGCGCTGGAGCTCCGTTTCCGAGCCCTCCATAACTCGGTGGCAGACCAGAACTACCCGTGGAGATGCCGCTCTCTGAGGAGCTCGAGGGCGGTCGTCGAAAGATAGTTTTGATGTTGGAAATATCTGTCGACTTTGAGATAGATGGATTCGGATCAAACCAATAATCTCCATTCGCCGTGTACCTGCTATCTCGACTGGAAGTATTCGGAATCATATCCACGATCTCATAAACGCTTGAACGTCGACACGAACTGGTCTTGTGGGGTTTCAACTCGTCATTGTTGTGCTTCCAGAGGGGAACACTGGGTTTGGTCGGGAAATGAGGCTTCTGATCAGAGTGCGCCTGACGAGCAACGTCGGTTTCCTCTTCATGATGTGGAGACTGATGGGGGCGTGCAACTTCTTGTGTCGTCATAGTTGTATCAAAGGATGCATTTTCTTTCCTTCCATCTGTTTGTGAATTCGATTTCATCTCTTCTTCTTCGTCCCTCGCTAGATCTTTTTCAGCCGCATGCGTTTCCTCCACGGATTCGAGTCGCTTTGTAGGCACATCACCTCGATTGGAGGGGGACTTGGGTGTAGATTTAGCATCAATCCCCGGACGGTCAAAGAAGTCCCAATTAGGTTCGTCACCAGCGCCCTCCGGACCAAAGTTGTCGTCTGGCATCTCTTCGAAGAGGTCTTCGTCGTAGAAGCTCGGAAGGTCACTGGCTGCCGGTAGTTCCTCAAAGTCGTGCATCTCCTCATCCTGATTGGGTGCCATGTCGGAAGGACCTCGAGGCACATTCGCCGGAGTTATTGCCATTCTCTCAAGAGATGATAGCCCCGGTGTGAGATGTGTCATTCCACCTTCAGGTGGGGTGGGATATATTGTTTGACTCACGGGGAAGGCGGGAGGCCCGAATGGTTGGAAATGCTCTGAATCATCAAATGCGCCGTCTTCGGTAAAAAGGGGCTCGTCTTCATCTTCAGATGTATCGCGATGGGCCTTCGTATCGGCGGGTGGCTCCATAGCGGTGCCGGCGATCCAATCTTGTACGAATTGCATGGGATCTTCACCGTTGTGAAACGCCTCTTTTGAGGAGCTTCTCTCGCTATCAAGCAGGAAACAAAGATTTGAGGGCCAGAATACTGTCCTCCAAGTGACCAGATCGTTGTTGACATGTTCCGAAGAGGAAAAACGTTGGCTGTCTGTAGACTCTGTGTCAACTTCCTGGACCGGAATCTCAGCCTCGAGCCACGTCACATCCTTGTATTCGAGTATCGTGTTCATGTGTTCTTTGAGCCATGGAGGAAGCAATTCTTTCCACAACGCCTTCCGTGGATCTGCGGTTTGGCATCCATCGGCTCGTGGTTCACGGGTATCCAGCCCGAATCTCACTCCGCGATTGGTTCCTGGGCCAACGATCCTGGCAATTCGGCCTATTGGTGCAAGGTATAACGCGGGACTGTCCGTCTTCGAGTACTGATCCCAGTCGAAATCTTGGCCGAGGTCAAGCGCTCTGGTAAATGACAATCTGTCATCGCTTGCCACTGTGAGAATGATATGTCCACTGGGTACAACCTGCAAATCAATACGCTGCAGACTCCACCGACGGATGGATTCGACAGCGGGCATTTCAGAGTCCGGCGTTGGTCGTTCACACAAGTACAGGTTGAGTCCAAGGGGCTGAAGGGCAGTGTCGCCATGGGGACGAAGCTTGATGCTGGAGACAATAGCAGTGGTGAAAAGCCGGTAAAGTCGAGATTGTTCGGGCTTCATCAAGTCTGGGAGTCGTGCAGCAGTCTTGTATGCTATGGTACAAGTATTGCTTCGAAGCACGAAGCCGAACTTGGTCAACAAAGTCTTCTGATCCTTCGCATTGGCAATGTCAACCTTCTTATAAAAGGTGAAGAGTTGCCGAGCTTCGACATCCAGCGCGGCAAGAATCGAAGCTTCCCTGAATTGACGTTCCGTTCTTCGAAGTCGGGCAAGGGTATTTTCAGGGCTCGAGACGAAAGCTGACGGGTCTTGCGTCGGCGGCGTAGCCACCGTACATACGATATAGGCGATCTCGCTAAAGTCGTTCTGCATGTATCGTTAGAAGGACCGGACACTGTATTAAATCCCACTGACCAGAGTATAGACATTGGTTGAACAATTGTTGGGAAAATCCAAAGAAGTTGTCATTGTGTCAGCCGTTGGGCGGAATCAAAATTAGGTGCCAGAAGAAGCGCGGTCGTATAGGTCGAGAGGCTTTTGGGTGCATTGCACACTCGACGGTTTTATTAAATAAATGGCTAATTCAAACCATGAGGCATCAAGCAGAAGAGACCGTGTGGTGGTTGTCCGGGCTGGACAGTAACCCAACACAGCCTGTCATACTCAGCCAAAGGTCTGACAGATACCTGGATGATGTTGTTTCTGTTTCGTGAAAAGGCGAAGCAGACAGATATAACCAACTGATGAAGGAGGCCAGCTCTTCGGAAAGATGCGTTTCGAGTAAGTTCAAATGAACAGCTGAACAATCTCTGGCACGTGATTACTACCGCAAAATCTTGGGCATGGAATTTTTTTTGCCTTGCGGAGCCACAACTCGCCGCATGACTGGCGATATGAGGTGCCACCAGGTATGTGATTATTCTCTTCCTCGTTCCTTTCCAGCTCGATCAGAGACTGACAGTGAACAGGCCGCGTCGTTTTACCTCTCGAGACCCATCATGCTTGTGTATCCATCATGAGACTCACCAACAGCAGTGTACCCGTGTACACTGTTTCCGGGTCGTCTACCTCTCGCAATCTCCCGGACTGGTTGTCACCAAAACAAAAGCGGAAGAAAGACCCCGAATATGCCAACCGGGTCGAGCTGTTACAAGATTTCGAGTTCGAAGAAGCCAGTCAATGCATCCGCATCACCGAGGATGGGGAATGGGTGATGAGCACAGGCACTTACAAGCCTCAAATTCACACACACTACCTGCCGAATTTAGCACTGTCTTGGGCGAGGCATACAGACACCTTGAATAAGACATTTCTATTCCTCTCATCTGACTATTCCAAAACTGTCCACCTGCAAGAAGATCGTTCTTTAGAATTCCACACTCCTGGGGGCTGCCATGACTCTCTGCGAATACCCAGATATGGCCGCGACCTTGCATATGACAGGAGTAACACGGAATTGCTGGTACCGACCGTCGGAGTGAATTCCCGTGGAATGGGAGAGGTCTTCAGAATCAACTTGGAGCTGGGGAGGTTCATGACCGAATTGGAGGTCGACGTAGGTGGTGATGATATGACCTCCATGGGAGGCGGAGCATTGCAAGGAGGTATCCGAGCTGGGAGTGTAAATGTGGCTGCCGTGGCAGAAGGTAGCCATAACCTCCTCGCCTTTGGAACCTCAATAGGCACGGTCGAATACTGGGACTCCAGATCGCGGACTCGAGTCGCTACTCTTGCCGTCCCTACAGACTACGAGGGGCGTCCTGAAGTGACGGCGCTTGACTTCCATCGATCAGGCATCAGCGCTGCTGTGGGTACTTCTTCCGGACTGATATATCTGTATGATCTCCGGTCCCCCATCCCTCGTCTCAAGAAGGACCAAGGTTATGGCTATCCCATTCAGTACGTCCAATTCTTGACTCCGTCAAGTACCACAAGGGCTTCTATCTCCGAGCCAAAACTAGCCTCCGCCGATCGCCGCATATTGAAGCTGTGGGATGAACGAGATGGAACACCATGGACCTCAGTGGAACCGGCCGTCGACATTAACTGCGTTGCTTGGTGCCAAGATAGCGGAATGTTCTTGACGGCCAACGAAGGCCGTCAGCAACATGCCTTTTTCATCCCTCAACTTGGCCCCGCTCCGAAGTGGTGTTCATTTTTGGACAATGTTGTTGAAGAAATGGCGGACGATCCTCATGACCCACAGGCTTTCTCACGATCCAAGGTGGGTGAAGTGTACGATAACTACAAATTCCTGACTTCGTCCCAACTTCGCATGCTCAACTTGGACCATCTCGTCGGGAAGACAAATCTCCTGAGGCCTTACATGCATGGGTTTTTCGTTGCTCAAGGCCTGTATGAAGAAGCCCGCCTTATTGCCAATCCGTCTACCTGGGAAGAAGAGCGGGCAAAACGAGTTCAACACAAGATCGATAAAGAACGCGAAAGTAGAATTCGAGGCAAGAAGAAGATCACGGCCAAGGTCAACCGCAAAATGGTGGAGAGAATACTTGAACGTGAGGAGAAGAACGAGAGGCGGCGTGCCCAGAGGGTGTTGGCACAGGGCGGTGACGAGAGCACCACGATGGCAGCCACCCGGCCCGACTCGGAATCGACTGAGGAGAAAGGTCTTCTTGCAGATTCTCGTTTTGCCAAATTGTTTCAAGATGAGGATTTTGCTGTCGATGAGACCTCGAGAGAATTCCGGGAACTTAACCCTAGTACCTTGGCTGCTCCTCTATCCAACTTGGATCGGGAAAAGGGCCTTACTGCGGTAGAAGAAGAAGCCATTGATGAAGCCCCCGGGTCAAGTGATGAAGATGCCACGGATGAGAATGAATTGGGTCAAAACAGACACAAGACTACAAACCGGATATCGACAGCCGACTACAAGCGTCGTCCCAAAAAGAAACAGAAAGGACAGGATCCCACGCGAATGCGAGTGACCAACTCGGGCTTGAAGACAGCGGTCAAAACAATGCACGACCGTTCCTTTGGATCTCGAGCCGAAAACTTGCAGCCAATTCAGCGGACGAAGCGCAGTGCCAGGTTCGGCAGTGCAGCGGGCGACAAAGTCATCACCTTTGAACCAACCGACAAGACATCAAAGCAGCTGGGGAAAAATACCAACCGCTCGGATGGTACCACGAGATATCAGGACCGGAGAAGTGCTTCGGGGAACACGTTCAGACGGATGTAAGCTGGCATTTGAAGACGGATTCGTCGAATCCATGATACCCAGATCACAAACTTCAATGCATCATACATCCCCTCTGCTAGAGGATATGTCTGCCACCGAGACGAGCGATCACACGCCATGATTGAGAGCTTCAACCAATTTGCTAGATTTCGTGACGGCACCGAAGATTCCGCCTTCCATTTTGACGGATTCTAAGGCAAAGTGGTGCAAGTCTGGGGTTGCAGCTGCTGTGGCGTCTTCGAGTATCAGACAGTCAAATCCACGATCGTTGGCCTCCCTCATGGTGGAGGAGACGCAGACATCCGTTGTTACTCCGGCAAGGATCAAGTTCTTCATCCCACGAAGTCGCAGAAGATGCTCGAAATCAGTGTGAGCAAACGCCCCTCTGCCAGGTTTGTCGATGATAAGCTCTGTGGGAAGTGGTTTCAATTCTGGAATGATATCATGTCCAGGCTCGCCACGAACGAGAAATCTTCCTAAAGGTCCTGTATCACCAATGCCTAAACGACGTGGATTGTTTCGGGACCGAAATCGTTCTCGACTCGACAGCGTGGAGAGATCGGGTCTATGGCCTGCGCAAGATTCAGCAAAGGAAAAAAAAAAAAAAAAAAAAAAAAAAAAGGAAGAGAGAATATCCCATCTTACCAACCTTCCCGGGTAAAGTAAATGGGAATGGATGCTTGACGGGCGGCGGAAAGGAGGGTTTGAATGATTGATATGATAGCTCGGGCTGGGGCTACATCATAGCCTTGACAGTCGAAATAGCCACCAATCTCGCAGACTGCATGTTTTTAGTGGACTCTGTTTAATATAAGGAGCCCATACGAGGACTCTTACAGTCCCGTTGCATGTCAATGATGACGAGGGCCGTGGTGTTGGGAGCGAGGGACGCATCGTGAGGGTAGTTGTAGGGAACAGCGGCGACCTGTCCGCCGCTCGGTAGTATTTGTTGCATCGATTGACGCGGTGAATCCAAAGTTATCTGTACCACGGCCAGACGGTAGAGAAGAAAGAGTTGTGTGAGTAAAAGCAATCTGCAGGCTGAGGGGTGGTGGGCCTTGGCATTAGTTTGTTGCTGCGCAAGGGGCTCTCCCTCGTGACTAGAATGTTGACACCGCAGCCAACATTCAAGATGCGTCCCAGATCTTGCCAATATTTCTGACCTCAGCGACAACCACCACCGGCACCAGCGCCAGCAGTGATACTAACCGTGGCAGCATAATTTTGGGGACATTCAGGACACTACAACTATTGAAATCAACAACAACACCCCCAACGCCCTCACCGCTCTGACTTGTAACAGGCACCAACGACTACAAACAACCAACCCGGACACATGGCATCTAATTGAGAATCTCAACATTCATCCATTCAACCCCAGCACCCATATCCAGCGACCGCATTACGACAATCGACTCGACCTCCCCGACGCGACCATGCCCCTTTCCGACGGCGTCCCCTCATCGCCGCCTGGCCCCAGCACCTCCCTCGAGGACTCCTTGAAATACTACAAAGCGCAATACGAACTACTAGAGGCTGAACTTGCCGACTTTCAAGCCTCGAGCAAAGATCTTGAAGCCGAACTTGAAAAGGATATAGAGGCATCCGAAAAGCGCGAACGCCAGTTAAAGGAGAAGACGACCAACCTCCAGTACGAAGTTGACGAATGGAAGACCAAATACAAGCAATCCAAAACAGAGGCCTCAAACGTCCAAAATGCGCTACAGAAAGAAATCACCGAGCTCCGAGACACCAACCGAACCCTCACGATGCGACTTCGCGACATCGAAGTGGCCAATGATGACTATGAGAGAAAGCAACGAAACACGGAGTCTTCTCTGGAAGATATGGAATCAAAATACAATCAGGCTATCGAACGAAGCGTCTTGTTAGAGGAAGAAATACGAACCGGAGACCAAGAACGAGAAGATCTCCGAATCGAAGCACAAAGGTTGAGGGATGAATTATCGGACCTCAAGATCGAGACTGATATCACCAAAGAGAAGCTCAGAAAGGCAATTGAGAGCGCCGCGCGACCTGAAAAGAACCTGACCCTGCAACCTATTGCGATTTCAGCCTCTCCTCGTTCGGAATTATCACCCACCACTACCAATGCATCGTCACCCACCTTCGACACTCCACCGGCCCAGACGGCGTCGTCTTCCGGACTTTCTGATACGCCCACTCCTCCATCACCACCGATTTCAGACAAGTCGGCCAATGCTGCCAAATCTTTTGCGACACCAGGAATCCCCAAGACCCGGCTGTCGACGACTAGCAATCCCTCAATCCAACGTCCCTCTACGGCGGCCTCGACCTCCAAACCAAATAACCATGCTCGTGGCCCATCAATCCCGACGTTGGCACGAACGGGACCTTCATCTTCACTTCGACAAAGCTTGTCAAGACCCGGAAATGTACCACAACGACCTGCAGGATTGCCTCACTCCACATCGATCATTCATCTCCGGAACTTGCGCGGGAAGATGCAGAAATTGGAAGAGCGGGTACAAACGGCCAGATCGAAGCTCCCAGCTCCGGTAAACACTCCGCCGAGAATGTCTCCGAGAAGTGGATCGGCGCTGGGAAATCATATTCCATCCTCGGTCACTGTCCGTAGTCGAAAACGGACGGTGGGCAGCGGGACGGACTCGCTACCTGACAAGGCACAAGAGACTCCTTCCATACCCAAGTCCAAGCCAAGCCGTTCCTCATTGGGTCAACCACAACAGCCCCCGTCTCCCACGAGGACAGACATGGCTGCACCACCATTCAGGCCATCATCCCGAACAAGTGGTATATCAGGGCGGTCCTCCTTTGCGCCAAGCCATAGCCGTCCGGGTAGTCGGGCAAGTGTGACTGGTATCCGTGCCCCCTTGGGTAGTGGGGTCGGGTCGAATTTTGCCCCGAACGCGTCGACAGACCGAGTTCGGCCGAAGAGCAGTCTAAGCAGTTACGGATACGATGGTGTGCTAGACGAAGAGAATATCGATGTGACAGCGACAGACTTTAAAGATGCAACGACCCCGACTCCGAGACGGACGACTTTCGCCAAACGGACCAGCGATGTTGGCTCTTCCATCCCCAGCCCTGTTAAACGGACCAGTCTTGGAGGGGCCACAAGCAAATTACCCAGTCTTACTCGACGACAAAGCTCTGGTATTGTTCGTGTTGACAGTATGGCTGGCGATATGAGGCCCCCATCCCGTCAATTGAATGATGTAAAGGAAGGTTATGACTTGAGTGAGACGTTTTGATATTCTTTGCGTTATATAAGGTTTTCTGGTGAAGGCTTTTTGACTCCCCAGCGTTTTATTAGTTTTGGTACTGCATGCATGGTACGGATGGGATGACATTCATGCTTCGGGTTTATTCTTCAGCAACAAGTTCTGACGAAAAAAAGCGGATCCGTGTTCGGTATTTTGTTCCGCCTTCAGATCAGTGTTCATGACAAGACAATTCTGTTGAATTTGGATCGGTGTCAGTCCAGGTTGGAATGTTTGGGATGGAATTGAATGATACGAACGGGTCGTGGACGACGTTGAACGGATGGATTCTTATCCGGATGCTTTCGACGGCAAACATGTTTCGCACCAGGTCATTGGTGAGCCAATTTCTTCCCTTTCTTCAGATGGGAGGGCGGCTCTTAGTATTTCACACGTTGGAGGGCTGGCATGAGTGATACCCCAAAACCGGATATGCAATCTTTTATTCTCCACGTCCAAGTCGCTCTGTGATACCTACTCTATTTGGACCCTGTCATGTCATCTCCTGCTCCGACGGACTTCCAATGTAGGTCACTTAACTGAATGGCTAGCATTGAAAAGCCACGCCGTCTCGTTTCGCAACATTCGCTCCTCCCCTAGCAAACCCGGTGCCTCCGCAACTGAGCTCCACAAGCCTGCCCGCTTTCTTTTCCTTGTCTTTCTTTTGTCTATCTTTCTCATGACATTTTGTCTTCCCACTCCCTGTTTCCCTGTCCCCTTCTTCCCTGGCTCGTATACTTTCCTCTGGAGTATTGCCACCACTCAAATCGGCCTCGCAGACAAAACACCGAATCCCTTGTTCAGTCTTCCGAATTACATCCACACACCCACCACAAAGAACATGGCCACATCCCTCCGCTGTCCCGAGCATTGGTCTTGACGTATTGGTCAGCGCCTTCTTGCAACTTGGACATATCCGTGTCGGTTCGTCGGTGCTCGTGTTCGTCTCGTTGCTCTCCGCAAAAGACACATTGATGAGTGTCTTCAGCGAGTATGCGTGTTTGGTCTCCGGCGTGGATGCAGGGCAGAGAGGATGTAGTTTCTGCTTTTTGGAAGTCGACGTAATTTTCGATACAGAAGTGGAAAGCGCCTCAGAGCCCGGGATCCAGAAACTGGCCTCTGAAGACAAAGCAGAATTAGAAGAAGGCTTGGCCTTTTTCTCCCCATGCTCATCTCTCCGCGACAGTGAGCTAGCAGTAGAAGCATGCATCTCCTCAGCCTGCCGTTTCCTCTTGACACCTCGGATCCCACTCTCCATGTCATCCTCGAATCCGGCCTCCGCACGCTCAAACATCTCAACATCCCTCCGTCGCTGTTCTTCTTGCTCACGAGCCTTCGAGTCCCGTTCTTCCTGCTCGCGAACCTCCTCCTCGCGCTCGAGACGCTTGATCTCCTTCCTCTGCGCGACGAGATCGTTTAGCGCACACTCGCGACAGAATAGATGGACCTTCACTCTACCCTTCCCCTCGCCTTTACCTCTGCTTGTGCCGTCGGTGTTGACGATGGTGTTCTCGCCAGCACCAGCACACGCCACCGGATTCCGTGCATAGCTAAGACATAGCCGGCAGTAGCCGACGGGCAGAAACGAGTCGCGCGTGAGTCGGGCCGATTGGCTTCCCCAGCTTGAGCGGAGAAGTGAGCGTTCATGCGAAGTGAAGAAGGCAAGTGATGTGTTGTGTTTTGAATGGGACATCTTCTTGTCTCGCCAAGTTTGTATTGCGTATTGTGTTGGTAGTGATATCGTGAAGGAGAGTGAGTTGTCGTTCAGCTTCCCTTCATACTCATATCGATGGTATTTCTTGGCGTGGGTCGACAAGGTGCGAATGCGTCGTGATTTCAAGGATGAAAACTTTCTATTACGTAGAAAGATTCCCCATCTCAAGAAGGAGCATACCACGGTGTTCTTGCTAGGCCGTGCACCTTTGCAGCCGTGTCTGTGATGGAGGTGGTCAATTGAAGGGGTTGTTTTCTCGAATGTCGGAAAAATTTTACTGTCTGCCAAGAAAAATTTATCCGAAGGAAACTCGCAGCCTCGTCATTACAGCCTCGTGTTGCACCTATACAAGGATAGGGAAGGCAGAAACATAAGTTCAGCTCAACCAAGGGTATTTTCATTTGCTCCAGTTCTCATTTAGCGGACAACGGATCTCATATAATCATACGTTAAAAAAAGAAGTTCTTTTTTTATTTGGTCATTTAAAAAATGGAAAGCGTGCCATTTCAGAACCGCAAGACACCACCGACCGAGGAAAAAGGCCATACACATGCACGCGAAGGACAATGACAATCGGAACCATACCGAGATCCTCAGACATCGGCGGTCTTCAACCAATCCTTCCGGCCGCTGTCATTCCGAAAGGAATAGGCCCTCGCCTTTCGAGCGAGCGGCTTGCTCAGCTCGAACACCTCCATCTAACGCTCAACTCGGCCGGGGGCCGAGTCGTCGCGTTCCCTAAGCACGAACCAGGACGACTTCGTGCCGATGCCATCCTTGGCCGCGAGCAAGTGGCCAACGTCCGGGGGTCCATGGACGATGGTCTCCTTGGCAGCACTACTAGCAAGCCACGCTTGTCTGCGGGCGACATCCGAGGTACCAGAAGGGCAGAGGAGGGGGCCGTCAAATTTCGGCAACGAGGCCTTCACCTCCGAAGCCGGTGAAGATGACGCAGAGGACATGGCGTCTTCTTTCTTGCCTCACGGCATACGGAGACGGCCACGCAGCCTCGTCCTTCTTTCTGGGCTTTGCTTCTTTTTGTTGACGGGCGATAGGGACAGCGACAACGACAGGAAGTTCTTCAACTCCACCATCAACGACTTGCAGGCAATGGTACACATTGTCTTTGCGGTTCATCATGGACATCAAATCTTCCAAGAGTTCCTAATTCATATCGAACTCTTGAAACGTCAAATGTTTGGTAAATTGAAATTTTCCTCTTCGGCAAAACAGAGGCATCACATTTTGTAGTCGAATATGAATTTGTTCTGGATCTTCGGTTGGTAGTGGTTGCACCTTTTCCCAAAACCTTCGTGGTATGCGAGTGTGGTTTTCTCGCCAACCTTGATGGGTCAAATTGCACGAACCACCAATTTCACATAAGCGGGTAAGGGACGCAGTGGAAGGCGGCGATAGGTTGACATGAACGGTTTACGAGATCTGTGAGCGGTGCGCGCCTGCCCTAGAAGCTCAGTAATGACAGTATCTTCAGAAAGCCGTGAAAGAGCATCCACGAGGTTCTGATATTCTCCAGCTGATCGGTCTTGTTTTTCTTGTGAGTGCGAGAATATCCAAGCAGTCGTGGGCGGAAAATTAGTCGTTGAGTGTCGCGGTAAAAGCAATTAGGGACGTTTTGTGGGTAGTTGAGATCTCGTTCAACGACGTTTCACCATTCCCTCTGGACATGATCAAATAGAATTCTTGCGATTACTGTGGCACGGCTGGCACATTTGGCGAATCGTTATCTTCCCGGCTCTTGCAAAGTTGGCCACGGTCGTTCCTCCATTCCATCCAGACCAATGTACATTACTTTCTCGATGGAGATCAAGTCGCCCGGTTCGGCGCTTTAAAATAGATGACGCGCGGAGCTGTCATGGTGCTCAATGTTGATCAGAGGTAAGAGGAAGGCTACCTGATACTGGTGTCACCCAAGCCAGACGTCGAATTCGGGAGTATATTTCGGGGTTGCAAAAACGGCAGGATTGAGTAAAGTAGGGACGGGAAGAGGAGGTGAGTTAAGTTTCGAAGGCCACCAAGTGGTAGAGCAGGAGATGGCTTTCCTTTCACCGGTGACCGCATCGGTGAGAAATACGGGAGAGCAAGAATGTGTGTGCACTTGGAGTGGGTCAAGAAGCGTTTGTTTCTGTGGAAATCAATCTTCTGAGAGATGTTGTCGACCGGGGGGGTCAGATCCCCAGCGCGACCGCAAACGAGGCAAACATCGCCTGGAGCAGATAAAAATTGTCTTTGGATGAATCTTTCCATTCGTTCTTCAGCGTGCGGCAGACTTCCTCAAGAGACAAACAGCGCCGGGATCGATTTGTGAACTTGACTTTCAGCAACTTTCAATCTCGCCCCGAGCAATATCAATCCCCTATAACCACCAAAAGGTGATGGAGCCTGGTATAAACAATTTCATTACCGCAGTGGTGCCATCGTCCTGCCCTGTTTCATTGGGGCAATGTACGCCATTTTGTACAAGTCAGGCCGATTCATACCTCGGTATTCATACTGTTTCCACCCCGAGCGGTGTCGGGGTCGACGGCAACTAGCACCACCAGTACTAGAGATTCAACTAGCACAATGATGCCCAGATGGAGGCAAAAAAAGAGCTAAGCCAAGAACAAACGGCCAGTAAGGCAATAGCCTTGTTTACCATCTCCAGGCCTGACAATGAAATCGTGAATCGTGATATGCCGATAAGCCCAGCCACAGCTTTCTTAATCCTGCATGGTTCCGTTTCAAAGTCATTAAAGCCATTTTCGACCTGCTGCAGAGACACGCTGTCTAAAGACAGGGCTTTTAATGGGAGTTCCGATGCTGAAGAACGGATTCATCAATGTTTTGACCCAGAGTTCGAAGACTTCATTCATAAATTGCCGAATGGCTTCCTCGGTTTGAGGACTGGTGGGATTCTGAGGAATAGATGTTGAAGATATGGTAGAGGATCGACTCCCAGCAGAAGCACTGGTCATTGCCGACGGCTGATGAAGAAGCATAAAGCGGACGTTGGTGCCCGTGATAAAGCAACTGATATGGGAGTCCGTTGGCGCATAGTTGTCGATGACCTTGAGCCACATACTGGGGCTTAGCCATTGCACCTCCTCCACTACGTCCAGAGCAGCGTGGACAATGAATTGATTCATGTACCGAGATGTTTCTCCATTGCGAAATCGGGCGATGCCGTCACCGCCAGCCTTGGAAGTTCCAAAGGACAATTCAAAGAGCGGCGAGTCGGTCGGTGAAATGATGACAAAATAGTAGGACATGATGTGAGACCCGTGAGGAAATTAGATGCGAACGAATCACCAGGACGGGCTCAGGTATGGAGATTGGTGTCGGTTGTGTGATAACATGGGTTCATTGTCGTAGAGCGGTCAAAGTCCTTCAATGCAGTCGTAGTCCGCCGTTGTCGCGTTATAGAGTATGGAAGGAGGAAAGACGAAAGACATACAGCAGGATGCGACGAGGAGCTTGGCGCCAAGGAATATATGTCTCGAAGAGGACTAGCGCAAAATGTCTTCACCAAGGCAACAAAAACACTTCGTTTCTACCACCGATTGTGATTACCTTTTGTCACAGTCCATGGCACATTCCAAACCTTGTGGGCTTTTTGCCACAAAGATAAGATCTGTCAAGATGAAATCTATTTGACAAGTTAGGAGGACGACTACAGCAACCCGTTCTATTGATTGATCTCCTCGCTCCTCGACCAGTACACATGGGAAACCACACTGGATGCCATCTCGCAGGAGTGGTCCGCTCAGGATCGCGTCGCAGGAACAGCTATACTATCCTGACTTGACTTGACGAGTGGTCCGCTTATCTAGCAGTCTACGCATTGCCATCCACTCGCCGACTCTGCCTCGCCTCAAGACATCAAGTTGGGGATAAGTCTGAGGAGATATTGGCAAATGGATACCAGACGAAGTACCCTTCTGCCAAATCTCCGGCCAATTCAATAAGTCGAGATGACGAGCAACGTTCAAGCTGTCGATAGTCCCTGATGACGTCTCGAAGGTTGAAGTGGATAAGGAGGTGGATGTGTCTCCCCTTGATCTCCTCTTTAATACCTCCACAGCCCTCAGTGCAAGCCTATGATATCTATTGACCGTTTTTGACCACTTTCTCCCGTTAATTGGACATCTCTAGAGTTCACCATAGCCACCCGGAGCGCAGAAAGGCCTCCGTGGTCCATATCCATCGTTATGATGACGGCCTCCTCAGGGTGGATGATGCCTCTATTAGACTCCTCCTATGCCTTTCCACCTTTCAAGAGCCGACATGGAACAGAGTCTGACCTTGAAGATGGCGGCCTACTGGATTTCTGCTCCAAGGGAAGTATCGTGAATATCATATTAATGCCCCGCTTCATAGGAGTGAACAGTCGGAATCTCTGCGCTTTGACTGGATTCGTCTGGGTAGGTATGTACTTTTCACTCCTTACCTGGACATATTTGCGCCTGCCAGAGTCCATTGGGCATGCTTGTGGTGAACTGAACGTGCTCTTCGAGCGGCGGGAAGTTCGGAGTGGATCGATTCGCGAAATACGAGCACATGCTGTAGGCACAAACGGCAGGCGAGTGAAAATTGAACTCGAAGCTATGTCGGTCGTTTCTACTCGGTCTAGCAATATATGATCCCTTTCTCTTGAAGAACTGCTCTGTAAATTCCACTTCCCCATGTTTGGCCCTTGGATAGGCTCCACGTGACGCTGCGATAAGTCATGTGATGTAGAATGCGAGACCGCATTCAAGAGCACATCGCCGTTGTCCACAGCATTGAGTATTACCCTTTTTATGTCGTCTGTTTCCAAGAAAGCAATATGTCTTCGCTAGCTTTTGGGCTCAATGGCGCAAAATCTCAACCAAGAATTTCCACATCCTCCCAAAAGCGCAAAGCTCTCTTCGATGAGGACGAAGATGTGTCACAAACTCACGATGCTCCGCAAAACAGCGCAAAGAAGCCTTCAAAACCCCTCCGACCAATAAGTGCCTTTGGAAATGACAATGAAGACGAAGACCCTCCCAGAAAATCACCAAAGATTTCACAACCGGGACTGCAGACTGCGAAGGCGGGTTTGGAGAAATACACCAATCTCTCTGCACTACGTACAGCCAAACTGCATGATGAGGAGGCTTCGAAGATAGATTCCTCAGTATACGATTACGATGCTGTCTATGAGACATTCCACGCCTCGAAAGAGAAGAAATCAGGCAGTGCCGGAGAGGGGGCTGGCCCAAAGTACATTGGTTCATTACTGCAGAGCGCGGAAGTTCGAAAACGAGACCAGCTACGGGCGCGAGAGAAACTTTTGCAGCGTGAAAGAGAAGCCGAAGGAGACGAGTTTGCGGATAAGGAGAAGTTTGTGACCGGCGCATACAAGAGGCAGCAAGAGGAAGTGAGACGAATGGAAGAGGAAGAAAAGAAGCGGGAAGAAGCTGAAGAAGAGCGTCGACGGAAAGGAGGCGGGATGACGGCGTTTCACAAGAGAATGTTAGAGAAAGACGAGGAAAGGATGCGATTGATCAAGCAGGCAGAAGAAGACGTTGTCAAGAGGAAAGAGAGTGGCATAGATGACTATATGGAAATCAAAGAAGAAGAGAAATCGGATGCAAAGATTGCCGAAGAGCTGAACGAGAAAGGAGCAAGAATCGTGGTCAACGATGAAGGTGAGGTTGTCGATAAGCGGCAACTTCTATCCGCCGGTCTGAATGTGGCGCCTAAAAAGCCCGGAAAGGAGCAGCAAGCAGCGACGAAACAAGAGTCGGCTCGTCCTCGGGAATACTGGAGACCTTCTCAGGCGCAAGATGCTCGTCAGGCTCAACGTGAGAGACAGTCACGGGTGATAGAACGACAGATTGAAGAGATGATGGAGAAGCAGAAACAGGCTGAAATAGAAGAAGAGAAAGAACAGCAAGAAAAAACTAAAAGCAGGGTCAGCGAGGCTGACAAGATGAGTGCTCGAGAGAGATTCCTTCAACGGAAGAAGGAGAAGGAGGAAGAAGCGAGGAAAAAGAAAGAGGCTGCTGGTTGAGATGGATCAACCGTTTCCCGTGTGTGTACGACCTTGACCGAAGTCACTGGATGAACATACCACCGTCGACAGCAACGACCTTGTTATGCACATAAGCGGTCCTTACGATCCAAATCACGGTCTCAGCAATCTCTTCCGGCTTCCCCAACCTTCCCACCGGAACTCCTCCATTCCAATATCAACAAGCTATTTAAGACAAAATCGAGGGTGAGACCTGTACTTACTGGCAGCTAATTCTTGACTGCCCGGCAGCATCTTTGTGCCCTCAATCAGCGCCGGCGCCACGCCATTAACCGTTATACCTTTGCTGGCATATGCATTCGCCAACCAATGCACGAGACCATGCATCGCCGATTTAGACGATCTACAGACCCAGTTCAATCAGTCGACGAGAACAAAAGCCCTGGGAAGGGAATCTCCGAAAGCCAAAACCTACGCGTAATGCGGCCCAACCACACCTCCCGTGAATGCAGCAACGCTGGAACAAAAAATTACTCGACCCCACCCCTTTTCCACCATGGGAGGCACACACAACTGGGTGAGTAAGAAACTCGTCCCGCAGTTCGCTCGCCAGGTCTCCTCGAACTCTTCGACAGTGATCTCACTGATGTCCTTGACACCGCTTTTCCCCATCGTTAAGCCGGCGTTGTTGAACAGGATGGTAGGATGTCCCATCTCTCGCACAACTGAGGCGTGAAGGTTGCGTGTTTCGGCGTAGGAGCTGAGGTTCGCGCGGAACGCACTCGCGCGCACGCCCATGGACTTCAGTATAGAGACGATCGATTCTGCCGTGTCGGAGGCCGTGTTGTAGTGCACGGCGATGGAGCAGCCTAGGCGAGCGAGCGCGAGGGAGGTTGCGTGCCCGATCCCGCCTGTCGCGCCGGTGATCAGAGCGAGATGCGATGAAAGATCCGTCGTAGAAGCCATTGCAGATTATGCTGGATGCTGTTGTCCGGAATCACCCGGAAGCGAAAGCGTTGATGTGGACAAGGCAGAAAACAGGAGAGTATGCTCGACTCTAAAGCTTCCCTCCCCTTTCCGTTTTTTATTTCTGATACGGACTCAATCGTTCTCCCAGTGCTTACAGCAAGAATGATGTAAACGAACCGGCGTGGAAGACACTAGATCCTGTCCCTGCCCTAATTCTCGTTGTTGTTTGTGCTTATGACACTAAATGGCTTCGTGATATGGCCTCGGTGAATTGACGAGGTCTCATTACAATCCTCCCATATATGAAAGTAGTACGATGGTGATAAAATCGACTTGATACTATCTCCGAGAAAGCTTTTCTCCTCACCAATCACCCTGAAGAGAGCGGGGTGTAATTGCTCCGAACATGACGAGCTGAACTTTGATCTTGCGTTCGTAAAATGTTGTCTGCGTGTCCTCATGCTAGGGCCCAAGTTAGGAAACTAGGTAAATAACCAGGTGAGAAGATTACGACGCCAAAGGTTTTTCGTTGACCCAGCACGTCCAAATCAAAGTAGCGGCGTAACCCTCAAATCGTTTCCTTCTGCATTGTTGGCGGATCTTGAGCAAAGAACGAGAAAAAGGAGGGTATTGATTTGCAGGAAGAATCGTCAAAGCGTAGGGGGGAAGAACTCTCAAGATGTCAGCGTCGCACCATCCTTCTGCCGGCTGTCCTTCCAGCCTCACATCTGCCACCTTACAACTGCACTATCTGGCCGAAGGAGCCGCAAACATCATCTACAGCGTCTCCGTGCTTTCCCCCCCGTCACTTCTGGATCATTCGCACTGCTGTGTCATGCGGCTGCGCAAAGATCTCTCCTTCACGAAACCCACGGTCAAAGTGATGGAAGATTTCCAGAATCGCATTGCCCCGCTATTCACCGGTCATGAGAACCTGCTTATGGAGCAGGTGTTGTATCGATTGACGCCGGAAATGGTGCAAAACGCCAATGCCGAGTTAAAGGAGATGGACGACGTCGATTTATCGGCGTTGTCAACGGATACTGTCAGCGCGGAGGGCAACCCGAGTGGCAAAATCCGGCATCATCACAGACGACATGTGTACCTCCCTGTATTTGAGGAGGAGCAACATGGGATTTTGATGCAAAATCTACAGGGCCCTGGGATTGACTGGCTCGTCGAATTTAAGCCCAAGTGGTTGGTGCAGAGTCCCAGCGCGCCGGCCAACGCGAAGAATTGCAGAACATGCGCTCTGAATGCGATGCGCCGACAGGCCCGAAAACATCAAGGCCGAGGAGATTCGGGATTCTGTCCTTTCGATTTGCTTGTTGAGAGAAGTGATGAGCCGGGGGTCTTGGAGAGGGCCCTGGGGAATATTTGGCCCGTCGAGGAAGGGGTCGAGAAATTTGTGGAAGTGTTTAAGGAGAAAGTCCAGCCTGCTCTGAATCATTTGGTGACGCTGCAGAAAGAGTACGGGTCTGTTGGATTGGAGGATTTCCGAAACCCTAAGGACAAGGACTTTGGCGTCGCGATGGCATTAAGGGATTGCAGTGTTTTCCTTGCTCTGCAGAGGCAGCCGGGTTCGGATGAAGGAGATGTCGAGGTGATTGATGTCAAGTTCGCAGACCTGGATTTAAAGACGACAGAAGGAGGAAAGGTCCAGAAATGGGCGGCCACGGAACAGGAACTGCTTGACGGTGGATGGTACGATCATCTTGAAGGGTCGAATTGTTCACTCAGTCGCCAGTTGGGATAGATTTGAACCCAGGATCAAAGATATGTCCATGCTCTTCACCAGTTGTGCCGGATGGGAAAGATGAGTTCAGCGAGTCTTTGAATCTTGTGATCTTTGATTGATCTTATCTCGCCTTTGATCTGCTCCAGAAGTTCATCTGATAATCCTCCTTTTCGCCGAGCGTATATATCTACACCCGCGGGTGTGAAGAGTGTCTTTTGGAAGTATGTGACGACCCATCCGCCATCCTCGTCCCCGTAGCCCAAAATCTGCCAGTGGCTAGAAGCGATCTTTAGAAATCTTCTCCCTCGCCAACTGTACGCGGCCGTGGTATCGGCATCTGGTGTGTCAATTCCTTTCACCCTCTTGGTTTTGTTCGAGTTCAGGGGTTGATATTCAACGAGATCATCGATGACTTCGACATTGTTATCGAGGGATTTGTAGGTGATGGTGACATTGCGGTTCGACTTCCACATGGGAAGAGTCGAATGGGTGACATACCACTTGCCTTGGAGGAAGGATACATGGGGCGGAGTGAAGTCGGCGACTCCAGCGGTACGAGATGTGGAGGGAGGACGAAAGTTCAGGCCAGTTCTTTCGACGCTGGTCATGACAGGGAAAGGGTCGTTGTGGCGTTGATTAGGTAGATGGCTTGGTGATCGAGGTACGCAGGGTGTGAAGCGTAGGAGTTTGAAGCAGGAAAAGGTTGGAGCTGGAGAATGTCGATGGCAAACAAACACGCTGGCCTGTTTCGTCTTTTATGATCGGGTGACAATTCTACCACAACAAGCTGACAATCTTCTACCACGCTTACTACCTGATCTATCGTACACGCTTAACTTCATATCGTAATGAACCCAAGCAATCCAGACTCTCCATCAGGGCTGCGGCCATCTCATCCTTCCCTGAACCAAGTCGAGAACATACCTTGACTTGTCTCAAAAGCCACAGGAGGGAAACCTTCATCACCATCAATGCAGTGGAATTCAGGTCCTTTGTCCTCTCTCCGACCAGCACCTCCTCACAATGCTTTGTGTGGTTATATTCTCCAATGTATCCGTCGATGGGAGCGGCCTTCAAAACAGCTCGATGCATTTTCCGCCACATATACGTACAATGCAGAACATGGTACTCCGTGGAGACATAAAGGAGGTCGTATTGTCCCAGTGCCACCTCTTTCCTCGGGATGCCCGTCGTTCGATTTTCATCCCGAAAATATTGCCAGCCTCGAAGTCCAGCAAACTCAATGGCTAACGCCTCGTCATAACAAGCGGGCGGAAGCCAGGAAAAGCTCATAATGTCGAATTGACAACCTCGAGACACTGCATCGTCGCGGCTGGAACCGCATTGCGACAGTTTCTGGCCCTCTTGGGGCATGATTAAGATCCATCTTCAGCATGAGGTGACCCAGAGTGAGGACCATGGTTGCACCGATAGTCAACCTTATCACCCATGACACAATGAAGTTTCCTCGTCTGTCCGCCTCTCGCGCCCTTTCAGGATGATCCTCCGTTGTGGGCAACGTACGGTACTCGGATCGAGGACTCATGTTGTTGAAGGCCGGTTCACTCGGTAAGGATTGACAGTCTCTTCGAACATCGAGGACTCCCGGTTTTGTCGCAAGAGAGATTTTGTCGTCCAAATTGGCTACGAGTGGGTTTGACGCAGAGATGGATCATACCTGCAACTTTCCGAATGGCCGTGAGCGACAACCAAAGGCATCTTACCGTTGATGGATCGTACCTGTCCGATTAAATGATATCCCATCCTTGTCTGCTTACGATGATCACCATGCCGTCATCAGCGGCCTTCCCGGCATGAGTGTTTCGAATTTTGAGAGCGCCCCAATCAGGATGAGGCGGCAAAGCAGGAGGCCTGAAACCGTGAAGGCTGATGTCCAGCATCGTAATCAACCTAACTCCTTCCACAGCCGTACAAACGCCCTCCCCACGCATGCCCCATCATCCCCGATTGCAATATTCATCTTCCTCTACCGCCGCCTTATCAACTTCCCACATCGCCTTGTCCTCGTCTGGTTTCTGGTTGTACCAGATATACCACGGCATGACTGCATACGCCAGTACCGCAAGAGCGTAAACAGGCCCAGCCACCGAATCCCGCCCGGCAAAATATACCTTGACGCCGTTCCACCATCCACCCTTCAGGATCGCGGTGGTTGCGAGTTCCACGATCATCAGCCACAGTAGAGCGAGCGCTCCGATCGCCACCGGTGTGAGGAACGCATGTTTCCCACTGTGTCCTCCCTCAAGTTGCCATAGGGTGAGCTGCGCGGATTGCCACATCATCACAACCATGATGGGCATTTCCAGGAGTTCAGCGTACCGTGTGCCCAATGCCGGTTGGAGAAATGGTACACGGATTGAGCCAAAGAAGAGGCCCGCCATGAAGACGAGCCAGAAATAGAAGAAGGATAGACGAAGTGATTGTGCTAACATATTGAGCTCAAAGTAATTTTCGATGGGTTCTGTTGTTGTTTGGATATGGTCTTGGGTCATGTCACTTTAACGTATCGCCCCGACCGTCGTCAAAAGGTTTATGTAGCCTTACCTCAAGGAAGACCCCAAAAAACCTTCTGTTGAATTATTCATGAGTGCTTTTAATTTCATTAGAGCACCTGACCCCGAATTTGGGTGCTGCCAAAGGTGATTCAGAGAGGTGAGCCAGTTGGAATGGCAGCCGAGTGCGGATAAAAGCGCATATACTTTCCCACTCACGCCATACCTGCATCAAAACTGCCATTCGCACCAATCCCATCAGCGGTGGCACAGATCTGTCATTGATGACACTGCCCATCGCGTCTTCACCAGCTCAAATTCGAGTTGGTCAATGCCAATGTGCTGGGTCACCTGAGAAGAATGTTATATGCGCTTCTAGTGTGTACTATTTCCTTCTCCGTTGACTAACGTACCGAGGCACTTCCCAGCTGTTGAACGAATGGCATGGAAGCGATAATGGGACACAATGGCCGAAGTCACCCATCGAATTCGCGACGGTAGCCGAGAGCCCGAAGTTTCAAAAATGTTTATTGGCAGGTTACCATGCGAGTCATAGCCACCAAAATTTTCATCCCACTGTCCCGACAACCCGCAGCCCTCAGCCCTTGGGTCATTATTATTCGGAGAGTTTATTTTCGTCTCATCCCTCCTCTCGAATAGGTATGCAGGATTTCTTTCGTTGATGAAGGCAGCCCTCCTGATCTCCGGTCATCCACGAACTCCCTCACTTTCTTTTCGTCAAAGTCCCCGCGAGATAGGGCAAGGCGGACCACTCAAAATGTGTCTTCAGGTCAACGGCTTCCCAAGCTCCCGCCCTCTTCAATGACGCCGCAGTATCTCGATTCATTTCGCATCCAGCAAGGAAAAATTTCCAACCCAAGAGATGATAGATGATTTGCATCAGCCTCGCCAGGATGCTCCCATTCTTCGTCCAGGGGTTCTTGATATGCTCCACAACCATCAGCTCCCCTCCAGGACGAAGGAGAGAATACAATTCGCGAGCACTTTCGTCCAGGTGAGGCACCGAACACAGAACACGGATACAGACGATGGTGTCGAAGACTCCTTCACCCGCAGATCTGACACCTTCCCGCTCCAGTGCAGCGAGCAATTCCTTCTTGTCCGCCGAACAGCTTAGGATATGGTATTTATCCGTGAGTTTGGCTTCGTTGATCCGGCTTTGCAATGGAACATGAAGACCGAGAGTGGGCTCAGCGCCGTAGATGGCACTGATATTGGCATTGTCGGCGAAAAGCGATACGAAGGAACCGGAACCCGGTCCGATGTCCAGAACAACACCATGGGCGCGAGACAGGATTGGTGGGACGAGAGTGGCCGACCCCGCCGGTGGTGGAGGTGGATCGACCGGCGCTGGACAAGAAACACCACAATTAGGGACTCAACTTCGATGCGAGCTTTAGGGACGTCAGTTGTGGGGCCTTTTACCAGTGGTTTTAGTCCAGAAAGCAGAAAAAGCATCATCTCGGACCTTCTTCAGATTCGAGGCGGATGGAGAATTGTGCTGGAGGACAAAAAATCGAAAGGCGGTGACGATAAAAGCTACCAATGATCAGTACCATTGCATCTTTCCAGCTTCAGGAGCTGAAGACGGTGAGCTTACCATGGGCACTGGCATAGAGAAGGTGTCCAGGCTCAAGCAGAATCAACAACCGGTTTGGAAAAGATGGCCACGATGACATGGTGTTTGTATGGAATCTCCGACGCCCAAGGGGGGGGGGGGG